GCAAATTTTACCATAATCTGGTAGTGGAATATACTTTTTTTCAGTGTAGTAAAAAGAAAAACCGGAAGTTACAAAACTTAAAGATATTACTTTATTTGCTAAACACGGCACCCTTGTCTTCTATTTGGTTCAAGGTTATAAAGCTTCACATCCATCCTATGGATTATTTCCTTAACGCTGGAGAGAAATGAAAAAAAAAATAACTAAGCTTTTAATCTATTTTTCATTTTATTTCATCTCTGTTATTTGAAAATAATTAAGTAATATGATATGACGTACAATTGAACTTGTTTTGACATCATCCAGGTGAATGCATTGTCATGAGATAAAATTACGTCAAAAATATTGACAACTCTTTTTTTCCCGCCATACCGCACAATGACCTTACACGTGTTCTTTCTCATGTTTATCAGCCATCTTGGAAAAAACGAAAGTAACTTCTAAATGCGACGCAGTAAAATGCGAAGATAAAAGAAGATAAGTAACTTCATAAGGAAGAGTTTAACCAAAACTAGGTAGTTGAAAGTTGTTTTTGTCACTCATATATCATATTTGAATAGGTTCAGTTGTGCGTGAAAATGCACGACCTGTGCTTATGTCATTACACTACCAGACAGTGAGCAATTGTTTTTAAGCTAGTAGTGCTTTTTGATTTTTTTTTATCTTTCAGAAACCAGACATTTGTATCGGGCATGAGAGCTAGGACATTGATTACTTCTGTATGAAATTTTTTTCCCTAAAATAGAAATAAATAAAATAAGCGTGAATACATACTAAAATTTTGCTTTGTAGAGAAAAATAGTAACTAGATTTATTGTCTTGTTTGTGAATTGTAAATCTGGAGAATATTAAGCGCAAGTCGTAACTGATTTGTCTGTGGTTTGACACTTTAGGAGCTATTTCAATCTTCACAAGCTGCTTGGCGGTGAAATTTTGATTTTGGACACAGCTCAAAATGTGCGTTTAAAGAAAATTGACAGAACTCAAAGTGTCTGTTTGGAAAAAAATAAATACATAAACATTAGAAGGAAAGGTCGGGATAGTCTGGTTGGTAGGGCACTGGACCCAAGTCCGAGAGTTCTAGGGTTCGATTCCCACCAGCCGAAGACCGTGAAGTAAATGGTGACGTTAAATCTGTTGAGTCACAAAGTCCTCCTTGTCCCCGTAACAAATCAATACCCCTTGGGGGTAGTGATCCAGGAGTTTCCTTGTCTTCTGGATTGGCTCAAAATTACAAGGCTACGGAATGGAACATTGGTAATCGTAAACCTAAAAATCGGGTAGGCTGTTCAACGACGGATATAGAATAAAATAAAATAAAACATTAGAAGGCATATTACAAAAATGAACGTAGGTGATTTGTGCATTTGAAAAAACAGATATAGCACAATATGCTATGTCGATAGATTAAATAACTAAATAGAGCATAATATGCTGTCAGTATGTTAAAAAACTAGATAGCACAATATCCTAGGTCAATATGTTAAAAAACTAGACATAAAGCAAAATGTGCTTTTTCAATGTAAAACAGTGAACCCACATATTTAACACAGACGTTACTCTGGAAAACTGTTCGCACAAAATAAAGTTTTGTATCACAAAATTCATGTAAAAAAAACCTAGCCATTGCACAATATTCGTGTAAAAAATGGACTAAGAACAAAATGCTATTTTTCAATGCAAAATAATGTACTCAAAATTTAAAATCTAATTTACTCTTAAGAAAGGTGAGCACTAAACAAAATTCTAAATAATATTTAAAAAATTGTTTTTTTTTCTGTTTTTAAACAAAAGACTTAGTTAGTTTAAATTAAAAATACATATCGGGTTACACAGTGCACAAAATAAAAAATTGAACACACTGAATGACTTTTGATTTACAAATAATTATTCAGTGTGCAAAATGAAAAAATCAAAATTAAAACGAGAAATAAAATTTATATGTAGACGATCAGTTAAAATTTGATAATTCGGCATTATCTAGCCGATTTACGTTCGAATTTTGTGTCATTTAAAATGTCATACTTTAAGAAGACATAAATTTTTTTTCACCTTACAAATAAAATATTTTTTCAACTATCATTAAATAAAATAATAAAAAATAATAATTAATTAATAAAAATATTTTTTTACGTAAAAATATCTTTGGACAAAAAAAATTTATAACTGTGTGCAAAAACGTTTCATCGAACTAAAAATTTTTTTTAAATATACCGAAATGCGCAAAAGGAGAAATTAACTTTGTTGACCAAATTTTCAACAGTCAAAAAGCTGACCAAAGTTTTCTGCTCTTCTGTTTAAACTATTGGGACCATACTTTTCGGATTGCGATTCCCTTTCCCCTATTTTCAGGGTCAGGAATCAGGGTAAATTCATCGAAATAAAGACGTGTTTATTAAAAAAAAGTATGTTTTTGTGTCTGATTTCGTAACTTAAAATACAGGGTGTTCCAAAATTCTCTTTACAACTTCAAAAATTCATAACTTCGAAAATAAACAAAATATTTATATTCTGTCNCGGCAAGGGGATTTTATTCATGATCTATCTACCTCTGAGTATATTTTACGTCAGCACTGTGGTTGATGCGAACCGGGAGCAGAATTCGTATCAACTGCTGGAATTCGAACCAAGATTACCTGGCTCTTTCCCATGAGTCACGACGAATGCTGATGCTCCTAAGTTCTAATGATATTAAAAAACAACAACATCTGTTTGTTTGAAAAATTCTGCTTCAGTTCACTACCGCTGAAAAAAATAATTCGCAACTGCTTCAAATATTTGAAAAATTCTGAAATCCGATTAATAGATTAAAAGTTATTCAGTATATTAATTTTTTTTGTTTAGAGTATTTTAACTCAATATTTGTCAACAAAATATCATGATTTGAAAATCCAAATAATATCCCTCTCGATTTAAAGTAATTGCATAACTTTTTAAACACAATTATTTCTAAGTTTATGCTTGATTATTATGAGTTGTTTTTTGGTCATTTTAAAAGCTTTCTTCGTGATCCATTTTACTAAATTTTGGGAGTAGTTTTAGAATCTCTACCCTTTTGTATATCAAGAAAGCTCATTTGTTTTTCAGCTGATTATAAAAGCATTTATGACTGCTCAAAATAGCTTTGATCATCGATCTTTTTTATCGCTGAATACACAAGCTTATACTTATGTTGAAAAAAAAATCAATATGACTTTTGTGTCATACTTCTCTTGCCACATGAATATTTTAAAAGGTTCTTTTTTCGGCTTGTGTATTTTACACAAACCTGTAATTTATTATGGCATTGTGCGCTATCATTTTCTTCCAATATATTATAAATTTTACCTGTTGTTTTTATTTTTTGTAATGCTCATAATGTTTCATATTTTTTTCCTTTAATGAGTACAAATATGCAGTAATATTAATGTAATTATTTTTCAAGCCATTACAATAAGAAAAGAATTGTAAAAAAGAGGTGAATTCTTTGTTTTAAAAATCAAGAATTTGGAAATGTAGTTAGATAAAATTATGAAATTTTTTTTTTGAGTTTTGCTGCTGTTGCTTTTATTTCTTGTAATGCTCATAATGTTTTATGAGTTCTTCATTTAATGAGTACAAATATTCAAGAATAACGTAATTTTTTTAAAATCGTTATTATGTGTTATAATAAGTGACAATTTTTCTTAAAAGAAAGGGAGGAATTCTTTGTTTTAATAATCAAGAATTTGNTTTTATGAGTTCTTCATTTAATGAGTACAAATATTCAAGAATAACGTAATTTTTTTAAAATCGTTATTATGTGTTATAATAAGTGACAATTTTTTTTAAAAGAAAGGGGGGAATTCTTTGTTTTAATAATCAAGAATTTGGAAATGTAGCAGATAAAATTATGAAAATTTTTCTTTGAGTTTTGTTGCTGTTGCTTTTACTTCCTGTAATGCTCATAATATTTCACATGGTTTTCAATAATGAGCACATATATACGATAATAATAGAATTTTTAAAAAATCATTGTTTTGTGTTACAGTAATTGAAGATTTTTTTTAAGAAAAGAGGGGAATTCTTTGTTTTAATAATCAAGAATTTGAAAATGTAGTTAGATAAAATTATGAAAATATTTTTCTTTGAGTTTTGCTGCTGCTGCTTTTACTTCTTTTTATGCTCATAATGTTTCATATTAATTCATTTCATATGTTTAAATGTTTAATATTAATATATCGTGTAATTATCATAAGAGGTGAATTCTTTGTTTTGGAAATCAAGAATTTGGAAATGTAGTTAGATAAAAATATGAAAATTTTTCCTTGAGTTTTACTGTTGTTGCTTTAACTTCTAGTAATGCACATAATGTTTTAAATAGTTTTTTTTAATAATGAACACAAATATACGATAATAATATAATTTTTTAAAAATCGTTGCTTAATGTTGCAGTAAGTGAAGATTTTTTTTTAAAAAAGGAAGGAATTCTTTGTTTTGATAATCAAGAATTTGAAAATGTAGTTAGATAAAATTATGAAAATATTTTTCTTTTACTTTTGCTGCAGCTGCTTTTATTTCTTTTTATGCTCATAATGTTTCATATGTTTTTCATTAAATGAGTACAAATATGTAATAATAATGTAATTATTTTTCAAATCATTACAATAAGAGAAGAATTTTAAAAAGGAGGTGAATTCTTCGTTTTAAAAACCAAGAATTTGTTCACAAGTGATCAAATTTCAACATATATTTCAATTTACATGAAAAATGAACGAGAAACAGTTTAAGCATACAGTCTAAAATTTTTCTTCCATTTTTTTAAAGATCATTCTAGAAATTTTCATATTATAATATTTAAATACTTATTAATGACACCTAAATACTCGCTTTAGTTCATTTCAAATTTTTGAACTGTGTAATGATAATTTTTTAAATGTTTGACAATTCATATTTATTTATCATTTAATAAAAATAAATTAAGCTAATGTCATTTATTTATTTAATTTATATGAATGATGTTTATTTTGAATGAATAGTACCTGTCTCATCCATTCATTCTTCCTTTCTGCGATATCTTGGTACGTTTTACCCATCATAGCTATGAGCATGTTGATTAGTAGTAAAGCTACTATTGCCATATACATAATGAAAATGACCTAAAAATATATGATTCATTAATAACTGAAAATAGGGTAAGCATAGAGAGATTATTAATGTTATGATAACATTTTTAATTTTCAGTTTAATTTGTTCATAATTTATTGGTTAATAAGCTATAAAATTTCTAAAAAAATTCAGCTTGAAATTTCATTTTTTTTTTATATTGGTAGTCTAAATTGTGTGACTTTTCGGCGAATATTGTTTGAGACTCAAGCAATTTATTCAACAAATCTAAGTGAACGCAGAATGAGGCAAATATTTATAGTGCTGCCCTCTGTCGAACAGCGAGTGCGGCTCATGTTCATTGTCCGTGGTCATCGATGTAGAGGAAGTGTGAGAGATGTTCTTTGTTACAGACTGGGATCGAACCTTGGAACATCGTGTCAGCAGCCTGATGCTGTAAGTACTACGGAAAATGGGGTATACTACCTGTATTGTGTAAGGAAGCTTTATATAATAATCGCATAAATTAACAGTTAACTCTACAAATTTTGCTAAAGTTCGTTATAATTGCGGGTAATGAGTTTTTTTTCTTAAAGACAGGAACTGGCAGTATAAGTAATGATCAATTCTACTACTTTCGCAGAAGTTCGTAACAATTACGGGCACTGGGCTTTATTCTCTAAGAAGGGAGCTGGCCGTACAAATTAATAACTAACTCAACAATTTCTTAGAGTGTAGAGCAAATAACAATATTAAAATTTTTTAAAAATATTTCTGACATAAGGTATCAAGTGTGGCTTTTACCATGCGGTTTTACTTACCGTACAATAACTCAAAACCTTTTATCAATCATTCTACGATTACTTTCTATACTTGTTCCTTTTCAACAATTATTTTATGGTTTTGAACATGGTATGAATAAAACTGAGATTCGATTTTATTATTAAATCAATACTATATCCCTGATTATTATATTTCTTTAGATATAATTTTTTGGTAAGTCAAGTTGCCAGACATTTTTATACGGGTTGGCCACTACAGTCTTAAATGTCTTAACACTTACACATTATTTCAACACATGTAGCTTTTTTAGGTAAAAACAGTTTAATATTTTTCTTCATACTGCGACACTTGAGCTGCGGTAGTTCAGAGGACCGAGCTCTCGCATCCTAATGAGGTGACCCTGGTTCGAACCCTTGTGTTGTCTGGTCTTACGAGTGCTACTCTTGGATCGTCCCTTGCCGACATGTGTATTTCATATATTTGTTTGTTAAAATAGTAGAGCTTGTATGCTAAAAAATGGAACTTGTTTGTTATAAAACAGTATTTATCAGTTTAAAAAACAGGCGATAGTTTTTAAATAACAGTATTTTTCTGTGAAATAAATTGCTTTGTACTGGCACACCAGCCGTCCGTAAATGTAACGATTATAATTACGTAATTTAAATTTCTTTCGTAAATTTAACGATATTTTTTTTTCTTACAGTGAGAGCTTGGATCTGAGAACTCGAAATTTCAAATTAAACGAAAAATATAATTTTGAAAAATGAAAAATTCAAACAAAGAATCGCAGGTATTAAAAAAAATCGTATATTTCTTTAAAATGTTTCTAAAATCATCTAACTAAAACGTACAGATAAATATGCGTATTTATATATTAACGAACTTAATAGATTGTACTGGAACTTATTTCCTGAAATAATAAATCATATCTAAATCTGAATCAGAACCCTTGCGTATAATTTCATTTTAGTACTTCGCTATTATAATTTAAAAGAGATTATGTCTAGCAAATGTACGTTACACAAGATTAATTGACTAGGTAAGTTAATTTATAAACGTTATAGTGTCTAGACGGTGAATTTGGATATTATGTAACTAAATTATATTTAATTAGTTACTTGGTTTTAAATCAAAGCTTATTTCCCATTGTTCTAAATAAAATATTCATTAACGTTATTATTGTCAGAGTGTTTGAGTTATTAGATATTATAGTTAGAAATTTCGAAGATTATTTCTAGGACTAATTAAATTTATATCCGTCTGCGTTTGAAGATTGTGGCGATGCACAGTAGAATGCTATAATTTATAGTTCATGATGTAGTTTAATATTTAATTTACCTTTGCAATATTTGGATGCGCAGTGTAATTAAACTGCTCATACGTGTCGCCAAATTCTGATAGGGACATAATGAACATCGCCAAAATACTTTGTATAGGATCATCAAAGAAACTAGGCTTGTCAGCTTTGTAAGATAGGAAAATCACATAATACGCTGCAAAGAAAAGGTATATGAATAATTAGTATTTATGAGTATGTTTCCCGCATTTAACAAGCAGTAATTAAATAATTTAGTAATAATTAAGTATTGCTGGTAAAAGTTATAGGTCACCGTAGATTTAATTTTGCCTTGCACACTCACGAAAAAAGCACTAATATCAAATTTTTAGAATTTCTTCATAGTTTAGCAAATCAATTCAGAGGTTTCTACTATTGGGGATATTAAATACTAACGCAAGCAGTGCAAAATATTTGGAGTTAGAGAGAACCTATACCACGAAAGACAGTACGAAATTATGGTCAAAACTACCAGAATATAGTAAAATTTACCATGTTTCTGGTTCTAGGGAAAAACCAAAAAGCTCTCTAAGTTTCACCGAAGCGTTTTGGTAAAGTTAACAATAAAATATGATTTGATAATATGAGATAACGCTTGGTAACTGACTTAAAATTTGGTAATTTTATCATGATACCATTAAAGCATAGGCATAAAATAAATTTTTTGGTTACATTAACTTATCAGTTTTGTAATTTCTACTTAATGTGGGGTAATAAGAACTATAATTTTGAAAACCAGAGTTTTTAAAAAAATCGTTACCACATGAAAGAAAAATTGCCTGGCGAATGGTTTAAATACTGCATATTTTGATTTTTACAACCAGAACTATGGGCGTTTTTTGTACCAGAAATGTTATTACCATATAATACGGTTTTACCAGAAATATTTTCTTCGTGTATGAAGAACTTAAGGCAATGTAATCAATAAATCATATTTTCAAAATTTTGGTTCAATGATCAAACAATGGTTCGTGCATTGACAATAAACTGTTCCGGCATGTCGTACAGGTCAATTGCAAATTCAGGAAACTTATATTAAAACTATCTGGAAATAATGCTTAGAAACAGCTTTATAAAAAATTTCCCGATTGGAAAAAAGTAGTTTTTCACTACATTATTCCAAGCTCTGTAACAAAAAATTTTATTCTAATTTCTTCTAATTATGAAAACAATTTCTATTTAATTTTTTGTTTAAAAATGTGTAACGGTACCATAAATAATATTAATAAACCTAAAAAATTTTTCCCGGGTGGCAGTTTCAATAGGCTTATGGTTTGTATTCATTATGTTTAGTTTCTTCAATCCATTTACATGAGTGAAACCCATGACCATTATTACTTAGTGACCAAAATGTATATAATTAGGTAGTAAAACTTTTTTGAAAAGTATTCTTCATTTGTTACAAAGTATTATTTTTAGAAATCAATTAACACTAAACAAATTTTTTGTGCTTCCAGAAATTATAGGTGTACTTATAAAGGAAAAAAATCCCTAAAAATGACATTCTTTCTCGATTACAGTTATGGGTCTTTAAAGTTACTTATAATTTAATTTGAAACATAGATTCTAAACTTTGTTACCATCAAAAGTTTTGAACAGTCTGAGGAGCTTGTTTACTTTATCTTATTCATTTAAGAATATTAAACATTATAGATCGTAAATTTTTTTATTGATTTCATAAGTTCTCAGGTTCAGTCAAGAGACAAAATAACGACAATATAGAATAGAATCCTGTTAAAAGTAGTTATTAAACTTTCCTTTTATTTTATTACTATTTCTTTACTTTAAATGCCTTTTCTAAGAAACATACTTAAATAAAACTATAAAATGTTATGACTCCAAGCTCAAAAATAGTAATAATAATGATATAATAATAGCCCATAATAATATAATAATAGCCACAATGATAATAATAGTCAAGTAGCAAGCCCCATAATAGTCTAAACTAAATTATGATGGTCTAAAAAAATTATTGCTTTCCTGAATTGAAATTTTCAAACTAAAGTCAATGAAATGTTAACAACAATTCAACAAAAATTATAGTTGTAAAAACTAAATGATAATCGTATAAACTAACTTTAAGTCTCCTAGTTAATGTCCAAACTAAAGATAATGAAATTTGAAAAAAATTTGATTCGGATAAAATTATTGTATTTGTAGGGGGATTACATTTCTGTTAAGAAAGCCTAGTTTATTTAGTTAAAACAAAATGTACGGTATTTAAATCATTCATTTGGTAATTTTTGGCGTTCGTATGGTAACGGTTTATCAGAAATTTCGGTTTTCAAAATTATAAATCTTATTACCACACATTTAGTGAAATTGCAAAACTGAAAAGCAAATTTGACCTAATAAATGGTTTTTATATCATGTTCTAAAGCATCATGATAAAATTACAAAATTTTATCACATTTACTAAATTTTTCACATATTATCTAACCATATTTTATTGTTAATTTCATCAAAAAATCAAAATTCAATTTAATTTAAAAGTCATTACCAAAGCGCTTCAGTAAGAATTACCATGTTTTTTGGTGTTCTCATAGAGCTAGAAACACGGTAAATGTTGCCCTATTCTGCTATTTTGACCATGCTCTTTTCAGAATGCAAATAACTTTATGTTATTTGTATGAAACTTTAAACAAATTAATTGCTAGAATAATACTAGCCAAAACTATCCATTAATTTCTTAAACCATGCCTAAATTAATGTCCAATTCAAATTAAGCCTATACTTGAGTCAACTGTGGTTCTGATTTTGATCTTCAAACAAAAACGAATCACGGAAGAAAAAAAAACACAAAAAAGCCTTAAAAACAGCCTAGAAAAAAGCATCAGAAAAAAATTCCGCTTCCATAAAAAAGTCTTGAAAAAGAAGAACCGAAAAAAATCACCTCATTAACTACTCCATAAATTTAACTTGTGATTCGATTCGGGCACGCGAATTGAATGTAATTAAATAGTTTTTCGAACGTAATTCAATGTATTTTTAAAACTTAATTAAGATACGAAAACTAAAGTAAAGTTGTCTAATATTGCAATAAAATCAATCAAGAGTAGTCTTTCAGGGGGCTGATCGTTTGATAAGTTAAATATATTAACAAAAGTGATATGTATTAACAAAAATGACAAGTATTTCAATTTAATGCAATTTTTAAAAAATACTTGGATGAAAATATATTACTTATGTATTATTGCATCACAATATAATAAATGTAATTATTGAAATTTAGAATAATTTTAAAACTGATTAAGCATCCCAATAATTTTGTTAAGCTAGTTTCCGTAAACTTTAAATTAATTCTTATATATTAATTAATTTAAAAAAAAACAATATCTAATTTCATTCGAATAAATATATAATTACATTAATTCAAATTGAAACAGTTGTTAAATTCATTAAGTTTTCATATAGTATTCATATAGTTTTTTCTCCCGTTGCTTTTTTCCAGTACTTTTTTTCCGGTGCTCCTTTTCCTATTCAGAAATAAGGAGAGAAAAATAATGACTTATTTTGTAACTAAACTATCCCCTCAATATAAACGAAAAGATAGCATGACTCATAAGCCGCATAAAGTACTTTTCCAGTACATTTTTTTCCGGTGCTCCTTCTTCCATCCAGAAATAAAAACGATAGGAGAGAGAAAATAATAACTTATTTTGTAACTAAACTATCCCCTCAATATAAACGAAAAGATAGTATGACTCATAAGCCGCATAAAGTACTTTTCCAGTACTTTTCATCCGGTGCTCCTTTTTCCATCCAGAAATAAAAACGATAGGAGAGAAAAAAATAATGACTTATTTTGTAACTAAACCATCCCCTCCATATAAATAAAAAGATAGCATAACTCATAAGCAGCATAAAGTATTTTTTCAGTACTATTTTTTCCCCGGTGCTCCTTTTTAAATCCAGAAATAAAAACGATAAAAATGACTTATTTTGTAACTAAACTTTCCCCTCCATATAAACGAAAAGATAGCATGACTCATAAGCCGCATAAACAGATCCTCAGGCTCATTATATCTACAAATTCCATTCAGGAATTCATGTGCAAAACTTTAATACATCACAGTCTGATTTTGACCTTCACCCAAGCACCTAAAATCCTAAAAACTTAAAGGAATATAAAAAGAGGTAAGGAGAGGAGAGGGGAAAAAAAGAGGGAAAGAAAAATCCTAACAAACAAGCAAGTTGGCGTTAGGTTTGTAGTTCAATCTGTAAAGAAAGCTACGTGAAAATCATGAGTTCTTAAGCGGTTGTTTAGTCTTGCTTACCTGGAGGTCGACACGTAGGTTCGTCGTCACGTAGTCACTTTTCCTAGAAAGGGGTCGTCTACATAATGTGAATGGAATAAAAAGTAATTACTCAGATATTGTTAATAAATATTGTGCAATAAATTGAGCCTGCACGAAGTTCTTTGTTTTGTATTGATTATATGTTACAGGTAAATGGTTTTAGAAATAGGCTGAGTTTGAATTGCTTAGGTCAATGATTTGATGGTTATTTTTTTCTATTGCAATAGTTGATATTTTTATTTATTTTATATTAATAGTTTTCTTTATTTTCAAAGAAAATAAATAATTTAATAAATAAATTAAAAAAGAAAGATGGCAGGAAAATGAATGAGCTGATTTCTTTAGTAATTTGTTTTATTATTTATTTATTATTTCACTGAGAAAAAGTACTTTTTTTTATGACCGTAGTTGAGCAGCCGACCCAATTTTATGGGTTTACGACTACTAATGTTCAACTCCGTAGCCTTGTAATTTTGAACCCAATCCAGAAGACAAGGGAACTCCTGGATCGAGTATTGGGAGAAATTTGCCTTTGATGGAGGACTTTTTGATGGAGCTAATCAGCACTTGCGTTACATGGAGATGAAGACCACGCGAACTTCTCATGGTTAGCCTGACGACAAGGGGACTCTAACCCATATATCCGTCTACCAATGAGGATATTTCACGTCAGCACTGTCGGCGGTGCATGCCGGATGCGACATTCGTATCGATCAGACATCGCCGGGATCGAACCCCGGTTCACCTCATTGGAAAGCGAACTCTCTATCCCCTGAGTCATCGCAGCTCTGAGAAAAAGTATTGCCAAAAATGCCAGGATATGATTAAATTTACGGTGTTTCCGATTCTATGGGAATAC